TTCAACCCAAGGATGTCTGTGCTGAGTGTGTAACTAAATTCCCTTACTTGAGTGTTTCTGTCATTTCTTCAGGACTATGCTCGGCGCCTCAACCCAGAAAAAGCAAGTATCATAAAGTTGAATGAAAATGAGAAGAAAAAAAAAAATTATAAACAGAAAAAAAGGAAAAAGCTTTTTTTCATAGCCTTTCCTAATGTAATGGTGTGTTAGTAGTCTGTGTGGTCCATAGGTCAGAAAATGCTTTGTAGTTGTGTCTGTCCATTTGCAGATCAGTTTGTTAAAGGGCATGCTCTTCTTCTCTCCTGTATCTACTCATTTACTTATTTATCTTTTTACCTCTAAAGTGTCTCTTCAGAATTTCCAGCATCATGCAATGGAATTGTAAAGCATGATGTTGCTACAAACTTGTCTTCTCTAGTGATTTCCTGTAGTCCTCTTTATATCATAGTAATAAGCATGGATATAGTCCAGAGATTTCTCTGTGTGAGATCTAGAAAAAAAATCGCAGCTGTCTAATGCTGTACATTCACAATAGGTAGTTGTGATGTTGTTGATTGTCTGTAAGTGTCCAGTTTGCAGTATTAGTGTCATTCTTATAACTTTTAGGCTTCGAAATTGTTTGCATTATGATAAATGAGAGAACTTACATGTGTGAATGAATGAGTCTAATAGAGCTCACAAGTCTTCTTGCTTTTACATGAGCAGAATCAAATGTTCCTTATCCAATTTTAACAAATAATCTCAACAACTGAAAAGAGAATTTTAGAAAAAAAAAGAACTTGCTCCTTATTTCCCGCCCAGTCAGGGGACAGATGTTTTTTACATGATCGGGCAAAGCCTGTTTTGTAAACGAAAATAATTAATATATTCATTCCACAGATAAATGTGATATATGGTGAAGTTGTCAGTGTAGCAATTTTCCCTGAAGCTCTGCTTTGAATGTATTTCCCAGATCTGATGCACGGTTTGAAATATTACTGGAGATATGAGTGGACAAAGGTGATAGCTAAGGGCTTTGCAAAAAGAAGAGAATAGAAAATCAGGATTTCAGATGATATTGAATGTAACAAGATGGAGGCAGTTTGCATTTTCATTCTCTAAACATATATAAGAGTAAATCATTCAGAAATATGCAAAGACGTGTTTTTTAATTATACTTATCTTTTACTTAGAATCCTTGCCATGCTTTCACATAGAATTCAGGAGTTCGGTTAGCAGTCAAGGTTGATAGGGAGGAAATATTAAATGCATCCAACTAAATTACAGAGGGTGATGTAGCACTTTTTGGTCAAGTCTTATTTATCTGTCTCTCTCTCTGTCTCTCTCTCTCTCTCTCTCTCTCTCTCTCTCTCTCTCTCTCTCTCTCTCTCTCTCTCTCTCTCTCTCTCTCTCTCTCTCTCTCTCTCTCTCTCTCTCTCTCTCTCTCTCTCCCTCTCTCTCTCTCTCTCTCTCCCTCTCTCTCCCTCTCCCTCCCTCTCTCTCCCTCTCCCTCCCTCTCTCTCCCTCTCTCTCCCTCGCTCTCTCTCTCTCTCCCTCTCTCTCCCTCTCTCTCCCTCTCTCTCTCTCTCTCTCTCTCTCTCTCTCTCTCTCTCTCTCTCTCTCTCTCTCTCTCTCTCTCTCTCTCTCTCTCTCTCTCTCTCTCTCTCTCTCTCTCTCTCTCTTTCTTTTTCTCATTTCTCTCTCTTTCTCATTTCTCTCTCTTTCTCTCATTTCTCTCTCTTTCTCTCATTTCTCTCTCTCTCTCACACACACACACATTCTCACTCTCTCATTCAAAAAAAGAACTCTGATAATAGATGTCAGAATGAATGTTCACCCTGTTGTACTGGTAGTATTCTGCACCTCCAAATCACATTGTTCACAGACATTGGTTTATATTGACCTCTGTATCACCAGTCGGGTCATCTTTGTGTTAATTTGTTCTGTTGTACCAGCTTTTGGTGGTTGTTTTGGTGTCTTGGTATGCATTTGTGTTTGTGTTTGTTCGTGAGTTTGTCTTTGTTGTAAAGAGTACTTACAAGGTCAGGTGTTAGATTGCAACTAAGGCAAGGTTATGTGCAAGTTGGATAGGCAAGTTGGTAGTTTTGAGGTTGTTAAAGCATTTCTTGGAGAATTATCAGGAGAAATTACAAAGTTGCCACTCATGCGCTCTCAAGCACTGAGAGATAAAATGTGAGTGTTTGAAAAGATATTTTGAAAAGGAAGCTATGAAAGATTATTCTTTTCTTGTGTGATTACTTTCTACTGACCTTTCTGTTCCATAGGCTGACGGGTGTTTTGTCTTTCTTTTCTGATTCTGCAAAGAGAAAGGGATTATTTTTCAATGCAGACATTTTTTCCTCAGAGTGGTTATTAATGTGAGATTTCTTTATTGCTATTATCTTAAATGAATTTCCCAATGAATATGATGATACAGAAGTACACAATATAAAGACATGTTATGGTTGGTTCTACGTAATCTAGATTTTCTTTTCTTTCTTTTTTCTTTTTATTCTTTTCATATTTATGAACAGTATTTTTAGAATTGTAGAATTGTAACCTGATGTCACCAGGGTTGGCATGTACGTATATGCCCACTGTGAGTTTACTTTATTATTTGTCTTTACACATAGATGGTTCCACAGGTACTAAGTCATTAATGGGCCAATTACGAGTACTACTTACCTCATCTGTTTACCCCTTTCCTTGCTTTTCAGAAATATTTTCTGGTATCTTCTATTGCTTTATAGTAATGTCAGATATGTTATAGCAATTAGTATGTGTATGATAATGATAACAGCATTGACATTGATAGTGCTATAAAAAAAAAAAAAAATCCACAGACTCAAGGAAAGGTGAAATCAGGTGATGTCACAAGGTCTACTTGTTGACTCCTTTGTGGCTAAGCATGTACAGAGCCATCTATGTGCAGAGACACTTCTCAAAATCATACTACAGTTAGCACAACTATTTCCTAGTAATGTGGGATCAACATACTCTTATCATTTCATGTTGTAAAATTCAGTTTTAGAAGTCAAAAAGGAGTTTTTGCCAGATAGTCCTCTTAATTCGTTATTATAATTAGAGAAGGAAATTATTCATTTTTGAAATGATGTACAATTTTACAATTAATTAATGTGGCAGCTAAGCCACATAATTTGAAACAAATCATGCTGTAAAAGTAATTATTTTGTAGTTATTACTGTCATCATTGGTATCTCTTCACCGTCATTTCTCCATCTGCTAAGAAAGATCATAAATGCTTAGGTCTCTTTCTTCATGTGAGGTTTGTCAGTATTTAAAAGAATAAATTTCCCTTCTAACTGAAAAGGAAAGAAGTGAAAATTCATTAGCCTTCAGATATGCCCGCTTCTTCTAATATGATACAGATAAATTAAAGCTTAATTCACAATTGTATAAAATGAAATACTAAAAATAGAATAATGACTATAAGACTCTGTACTTCATCTTCATTTAAACTTATTTGAATTGCTTTGATAATTAGTGCAATTGATTTAGCAAACAGTTATGTGGCCTGCTTAGCTTCATTAAGATCTAGCCTTCTTAGCTCTTAGAATTAAAGCAAAAGAGATCATAGATTTAGTGTAATCAGAGAAGACTGGATACACCAAGTTATGGAAGACCATCTGACTCCATTGTATAAATCAAGATTCGGTCGCCTGTCAGAATGAGGTATGTTCATAACCTTAGGAGGCAGAAACACGCCCGCACAAATTTCGAAGAAAAATCCCTTAGGACAGAATTGAAGGCAACATTTGTGTACAGTGTTAGAACAAATTGTTGTGTGTTTGGGTAAGTTATTGTATGTTCAAATCACTGCATTAGCAATACTGTTGTTTACAGTGGTGTAGGGAGGTCACAGGGATTCAGGAAGACTTGTATACATATATATATAAAAATGTATATGTACATATATATTATATATATATATATATATATATATATATATATATATATATATATATATATATATATATATATATATATATATATGTTTATGTATATGTATATATATATATATATTTATATATGATATACATATATTTATGTGCACACACACGCAGACACACACACACACACGCACACGCACACACACACGCACACACACACGCACACAAACACAGAGCACACGCACACACCGAGCACACACACACACACAGAGCACACACACACACACAGAGCACACACACACACACACACACAGAGCACACACACACACACAGAGCACACACAGCACACACAGCACACACAGAGCACACCAGCACACACAAAGCACATGTATATTCTAAGTTAATGAATATTTGCAGCCAACATCACTCTGTGTTCTGCACAGTGTTGCTGTTGTCAACTTTTCTTGATTTTGTATCATTCATTTTACTTTATACTGAGCTGCTCAGAGGGTCAAAATGGGTAAAACTATTTCAAGGACATTGTTTACGTGTCAGTATTGAAGATTATGTATAATATTTAATTTTCTAGGGAACAGGTTATGGGCTAGAGTATTGGAAGGTGTGATGTAGCATATCAGTAGCAGTGATGCAGTTTCCTGAAATCTGCATGATATGTAAGATATAGTTGCCATAGGGTGGAAAGTGATCACTTCTGTACTTTTATGTTTTGCCACTTCGAAAGTGTCACCACGAAAGATACACAGGAAAGACAGATTTTAACCCTCCCCCTTTTTTTTTTCCTTACTCTCCTCTCCAGGTTTAGGCTTGGAAAAGGCCCCCCTGCCTAATAACAGCAAGTTCCAGCGCGCCGAGAAAGTCGAGAAGATGATCCGCTGTTTCGAACTGGCCGGAGACCTCACGCTCCTCTACCTCCAGGAGCAGGACAAGCTGACGTCGACACCCTCTACCCACTCCCTGTACTCAGTTCCTTCGGTCTCCACGACAAATACCACAGGCAAGGAGTTTTCGTGGGCCAGTTATTACTTTGTGTATTTAATACCTGAGTTTGGCTTTACTGTTGCTGAATTTTAGATAGGTAATTTTGACATTGAGATTATTTACTTGAGTTGTTGGCTTTATATTTTCCTCTTCTTTTACTTAAAGAGACTGGAAGGGTATTTTCTTGTTTACATTAAAGAGTAAGAAATATTTCTTAGTTTAGATGTGTACAATATGCAATCACATTAAAAAAAAAAAAAAAATCAAATATTTATTTTCATTTAAAGATTGATTGAAATTCAAGTAGACAGACACTAAGATAAGTCAAATCCTTCCTTAATAGCATATATTTTCTGAAATGAAATCTGAGTAGAAGGTATCTGGCATTTTGCTATGACGTGAAAACCATATTTTTAGGATTTTGCAGAAACTTTAATCCCCTTCAAAGTAAGGATGCTAGCTTTCTACACACTTTAGTCCAGTTGACTTCCCAGAACTGGAGCCAAATACTTTATAAATTTCAGCCATATTCTTAGAGCAGTAACGTTCTCATTTGATTATGATTTCGTAGGTTCAACTTCTCCACTGCCTCCAAATGGACTGGAGAGCAAGAAAATTGGAGTTATTTTGGAGACTGCTTTACAAAGAGCTCCTATTCTGCACATGAAGGCTGGCCAACTGGACAAAGCTATTAGCAGATACAGGTAACTGTCTCCCATGGCATACTGGGAAAAAGGTTTAGATTTATCTGTCTGTTTATCAGTCTATATAGTGTATAGATATATATAATATATATATATATATATCTATATCTATATCTATCTCTATATATATATATATATATATATATATATATATATATATATATATATATATATATATATATATATGTATATATATATGTATATATTTGCATTATATATTATATATATGTGCGTATGTGTGTGTGTGTGTGTGTGTGTGTGTGTGTGTGTGTGTGTGTGTGTGTGTGTGTGTGTGTGTGTGTGTGTGTGTGTGTGTGTGTGTGTGTGTGTGTTTTTCTCCACAACATCTAAATAAGAAACAATAGTGTTTTTATCATGTGCACAATTTTTTTTTTACATTTTAGCAAAGAATAGTTATGTTGTTCAATGTTTCATGGCATTTGCAAATATTTTCCTCCCTTACAATTTAATTTCTTTTTGAAAGAAAATGAAGCTGATCTCTACATTTCTCTTTGCAGGAGTATGCTCTCAGCAGTGGAGTCCACAGCCACCCAGCATCTTCGGTTAACTCTTGCTAGACAGCTTGCTGAAGTCTTATTAAGGGGCTGCTCCGAGCATGCTTATAAGGCACCTAATCAGGGTATGCGAAAGTTAGGTGGGTAGATATTTATACTTAGTTGCACCGTGAGTGTTCTGTTTCTTCTGTACCTTGGCATCTTATTATGTCAACTCCTTGTGGGACGTTAGAAGTATACAATTAAGTCTTTTAAGCAAAACAGGCTTCAGATTGTTTTCATTATGGATGCAGAAGGTTCTCCAAATGTTGTAGACATAAAATTATTACTCTGAATAGAGAAGTGATATGTTGAAAGTGTTGGATGTTCAGTGTTTATGGTGATGTTATTTTGCATGATCATGGTTAAATTGAAGAAACCTTGCAAGAGTGTCAATAAGTGGATCACCTTTTCACTCGTGAAGTATGTGATGTTTCAGCAATGGGCTTCATATAAGCAGGGCTGATTATTTTCTTATATGGGATGATTTTCAGTAGGATATGATAATATCCTGCAGTCATGTAAAAATGAACATGTAAAAATGAAATGTGTATATGCAAATGTACGCCTACATGCACACACACACATATATCATGAGTAGAAAATATCATGTGTAGAAAATTAGCTATTACAAGAATTACATAACTGTTACGTGACCAAAAATCTAATGCAAACTTATTTTACAATGTAGGATTGATACTAGACACTATTATAATCTAGATTTCAAGATTTCTAATAGCTTATTCATTTACCCACTTTTGGCTCAGTTCTGTTGATATATTGTTGCTGCATCAGCTTCCGTCTTATTATTCAGATTGGGCATTTTATTTTGATTAGGAAAGCAGTTTGTAGACAGTTTGTATGAAACCTAAAACATCTTTAACATTTTGTGAGGTCATGTCAGTAATTAAAAGACAATCAGTATTTGGAACATTTGCTTAATGCAGATATTAAACCCTAAGAACTGCAAATCCTACAACTTATCAAGCTGCAAAAAGGCCTGAGTTTTCCAGTTTCACTAAGACAGAGATTGGTTTCTGGCATTTCAAGAGCTTGGTTTTACACAGCAGAAAGCATATATTATATTATTATTATGTAGCAAATACACATTCTCAGTAGGGTTTAAAGTTGAAAAGGTTATTGAAACTATCCCTGGCATATGAATGAAATTGGGGACAAATTACAATAAGCTTATTGCTTAAACATTGAGAGAAATACAACTGTGATTGGCTCTTGGATTATAGTGTTGGGAATGATATCACTTAGTTGTAAAGGGAAGATACTTGCTAATCATTATGAGAAATAGTGCATTTATCTCATTGATCATTAAGGAGTCTCAGGAAAATAACCCACTAGTGTTAGACACCTTGCACAATCATGATGAATATTACTAGCCACACATACGGAAAGCCACAAGTGTGGTGAGAAGGGGCATAGGTGTTAAGAACAAGTTACTCAGTTTCATGTTGTAATACATAATCATAGATTATTTTGTGATTGTCTCACACAATTTGCATGTAAGCTTTCATCACTCTTTTGTTTCAATTATTTTATCAAGTAGGACAAATATGTTTGTTCAGTCATTGCCAAGCTAAATGGCAGAGTTTAATGTCTAATCTGAATGTCTCATATGAATATAGTTATTGTTGACATGCACCTTAAAATAGAAGCAAGTCATGCATTCTTTGTATTGCATTTATCTTTGTAGAAGCTAATGAAGATAGACTAGTAAGATAGACTGTTTTGTAAACATCAAGCTTTATTTTTTTTTTTTTTTCACCATTTTTAAGCATGATAACTGCAGGTAATTAACTGAAGGGCTTTACCATTGTGATTAAAGTCACAGAGAAATGCTGATAGTTCTAGCTAATCTGAAAGTGATTTTTTGACCAAATTTTTGTTCAGTGATTTTATAATTTGTTATATATTGGTACTTTATTTTAAAAATAAAGAGAACTTTGTTTAGTAATGTTTGGGTATCATTGTATGTGCACATAGCACAAGTAGGTAGTACTCATTGCACTTTATGCAAAAAAACTATAGGATGATAAAGGAAGATAGAGACAGATAAAGAGAGAAATAGATAGAGAGAGCAAGAGAGAAATAGATAGAGAGCAAGAGCAAGAGAGAGAGCAAGAGAGAGATAGATAGAGAGTGAGAGCGAGAGCAAGAGAGAGTAAGAGAGAAATAGATAGAGAGTGAGAGCGAGAGAGAGAGCAAGTGCGAGAGAGAGCAAGAGAGAAATAGATAGAGAGTGAGAGCGAGAGAGAGCAAGAGAGAAATAGATAGCGAGTGAGAGCGAGAGCGAGAAAGAGCAAGAGAGAAATAGATAGAGAGTGAGAGCGAGAGAGAGAGCAAGAGCGAGAGAGAGCAAGAGAGAAATAGATAAAGAGCGAGAGAGAGCAAGAGAGAAATAGATAAAGAGCGAGAGAGAGCAAGAGAGAAATAGATAGAGAGTGAGAGCGAGAGCGAGGGCAAGAGCAAGAGCAAGAGACAGAGCTAGAGCGAGAGACAGAGCAAGAGCGAGAGAGAGAGAGAGAGTGAGAGAGAGAGCAAGAGAGAGTGAGAGAGATAGAAACAGACAGAAAGAGAGTGGTATTAAGATTCTAATAGCAAAACCTTCTTCCTTGGACCAACAGACGAAAGGAGTCGCAGCAGTTCAAGTCTCAAGTCAGGAGAGAGTCCTTGGAAGCCCCAGAAGTACACTGGTACCAACCTTTTCGTACCAAAGAACATTAATGAAGAGATCATCCTACTTCTGCTTATTAGGTGTGTCTTTGATTTTTCCAAATAAAGTTCTGTCTGCACTTAGCTTTTACTTTACAAATTTATGCATAGGTGTGTGTGTGGATATAGGCATACATTTTTAGTTTCTTTCTCTCTCTTTTTTATTTTTTATTTTTTTTATTTGTTGTTTTTGTTCTATTTTTCTTACCCTCTTTGTTAACAGTGAGGCCATGGCAGTCAGAGAAGCTGTCCTGAGCCAGTCACCGGAATTCAAGAACGCCAGAGTCCATGCCTATGACAATGCAACGGCAGTGTATGACCTTCTCTGCATCTCCCTGGCAAGAAGAAAGCAGCATCAGATTTTGGTTGAGGTTTGTTGTCGGGGTTTTTGTCGTTGTCGTTTGTTGTGGCGAATGTTGTGTCTCAGTCGTTTATCTCCAGTGGCAGGGTTTTATATATCCTGTACAGTATGACGATGATTGTTCTTGTATGTTTTGAAGTGAAAATATATGGATCATTCTTTGCGTTTTTGGATGCTGTTTGTCTTAACCCTATGTTGACAGGGTGGCAAGAATATATGTCATGTCTACTTTTTTTTTTTCTTCTTTTTTATTATTATTATTGTTATTATTATTATTATTATTATTATTATTATTATTATTATTGTTGCTGATATTATTATTATTATTATTATTATTATTATTATTGTTATTATTATTATTATTGTTATTGTTATTTTTATTATTATTGTTATTATTATTGTTATTATTATCATTATTATTATTATTATTATTATTATTATTATTATTATTATTATTGCTATTATTATTATTACTATTATTATTATTATCACCATCTTGCTCACTACCTTGCTCACCTGCTTAGCCTTCTCTTGATTTGCTAACAACATAATAATTTAATGTCAACAGCAATAATCACATAGATATTAATAGCATTAGAAAACAATATTTTTCTTTTTCTCAAAATTTTCTCAATTTCTCAATTTTTCTCAAAAACTAAAGGAAAGAGGAAATCAGATGAAGACACATAAGCTTACTAATTGACTTGTTATTGGCCAAGCACTTATGGAGCCATATATCTGTAAACAAATTTCACAAAAGAAAACAACAGTAGACAATGATTGCCTGACACCATTGGGTTAATAATTATGATTTGCATGCATGACATACTGTAGATATATGTTTATGTTTGTCTTCCAACATATTTAAAAGGCTTTTTATTTTATCTCCCAAGGTGTTCGAGCGAGCAATGAAGTTCTCATACGAGGCAAGCCACGTCTGGCAGCAATTTGCCTTGGCCTTAGCATGTGGCAGGAAGTATGCCAGGGCGCTCCTCGTATTGCAGGAAGTCCATCGACTTATGCCATCTGAGCCTCACTATTGTCTGATGGCAGCCAAGATCTGCTTCCAGCAACTTGGCAAGGTACTGTCTTTCAACTACTTGTTACTTATAAAAGGAAAAAGATGGTATTTATAGATGGTATTTAAAGCTGTGAAACAGGAAGATTAGTTGAGAATTCCTAGTTATGCAAGATTTTAATGCACTAAGCTGTATTGTCTTTCCAAAGGCAGGTTAAGAATAATTGCTTGTCTTACCAAATTTCACAACTCAAAAGTAGTAACCCATTGGTCACAGAATTCATGGGTAGTTATCAGTTATTAGTTAAAAACAATGATGGAACATAATGACATCATAGTCAACTTCAGCTGTACTACAGAGGAAGTAAACTAAGTAGTCTGGCTTACACAAAAACCCAGTGTGCAATAACAAGTCTGTTCACATTATTTTGAAACAGGGAAGATATGAGAATAAAAGTAACATGATGGCTGACTTAGGATGCTTCACAGAACGATTTTATTTGTCAGTTCAAGTTGAATGTCACCTACACACTGCGGAAGAAACATAGCTCTCTGAAGTTTGCCCAAACGTTGTTTTTCTTATTTTTGGTAATGAAAGACAAGAGAGTGCACAATAATAAGTCTGTCCCTGTTACTTTGCATTGTTGAAGATCAATAAATGCAACAGTGGTTCTCTATTTTCAGTTTTTACAAATGATATGGAAAAATGTTCAGATATTTATTTTCACAATGATATGCCTTTTTTCTACTTTTAATTTTAGATAGCAATATTTAAGATATCTAAAAAGAGAATGTGAGATAAAGTCAGATAGTGTTACAGGGATATTGTTATGTGAGACAGAATCATCACTAATAAAATATGGCATTTGTGCTGCATGCTAAATCACCAGGATTCTACATAGGAAACTGCACTGTCCACTCAGGGAACTGTAGTATCAGCTTCCTTTGTGTTTATTGCAATCTATAGACTTTAAGAGAAAAAGGAAAAATATATTTCCATTCCCATTTCAGTGGTATTTATTTAAAGATATAAAGTAAAATATTTCTTTATAGTGAGAATGAAACTAATATGGATTGAAATATAGATTGCCTACAAGAAAAAGAGAGTCATGGTGAAGAACAATTTTCTTCAGCCTTAACAAAATGCTTTATTCTTTAGATTGAAGAAGGCTTAGAATGGGTGGACAAGGCCCTAAGGTCGGCCGAGGAGAGAGCCAGTGTTCTCACTGCCAGATGCTATTTGTATCATGGCCTTGGACTCACCCTGGAGGCTCATCACAAGCAACGCCACGCTGATTCCCAGGCACTACGAGCAAAGGCCTTGGAGTCTTTTGTAAGGTGAGGTGAAGTTAATGTTTAAGAGAGTGCTGAGTACAGTTCATAAATTGAATAGTCTTTGTGCATGGCTTGAAAGTTTGCTGTGTAGTTTCATAAAAATTCATTGCTAGATTTAGTTGGTAGGGAAAGATATTGAAGAGATAAAGCTTGCAGAAAGTTTAGATCAGGGTTGTTAAACTCATTTATCCAAGGGGCTACATTTCTTAGTATACCATATGTGGTCCAAATAAGCATGAGTTGACATGATGAAACAGCCATACAGTTGACATGAAAATGGTGGAGGCTATACCATTCATTACAAAAATAAAATAATAGAAAAAAAAATTGAAATGTAATTGATAATCTTAAAAGACAAAGACCTGGCTTAATTAATCATGTAAATCTACTACAGTTCGTCAAGGAAATTTATTAAAGTACAAATAAAAGTTTGGAATAATATTAAGTTTAAATCATTATGCGTACGAAATGGTATATGAAATTTGTGTTTGGATTTCCTGGTGTCGTTCAGAGGAGCAAGACTACATTTAAGCTCTAATTATGTAGACATCATGCATCTTGAATCCTTAGGAAAGGAGAAGTAAGATTGATTAAGAAATTTCTAAGATTGGTAAATTGTATTAAAAATATCATTCTCCCATTGGAACGTAATACAGATTCTAGTTCACCGATGAAATGCAAACCAAATGGTCCAGTAAAAAGCACTGAGAGCTCACATTTAAAACTCTAGCTTACTCTAAGAACTCATTGTATTATTGTGTTGTTATTATTAATATCATTTTTTATTATTGTAATTGTTTTTATTATTAGTGTTATTATTATTATTGATTTATTAGCATTATTTATGTTTCCTTAAACCCCACCATATATTCCACAGAGCTCAGCAACTTGACTCGAGTGATCATCTGGTTGAGTTCTACCTTGCCTTGCATTATGCCCAGAGTCGTCATCTGGTCGAGGCAACCCACCATGTCAAGTTGGCTCTTTACCTGCGATCAGAACACCCACATTCCCTTCACTTGCTGATCCTTCTGCTCTCTGCTCAGAAGGAATATGAGGAAGCTCTTGAAGTAAGGAAGGATCCATTTCATGTTTACATTTTCTCCTTGTGGACATGTTTGCAATGAAACATGAATATGTACATAATCACCCATTCAAAGACACACACACACACACACACACGCGCGCACACACACACACACACACACACACACACACACACACACACACACACACACACACACACACACACACACACACACACACACACACACACACACATATACACACACGCAGTGTCTTTCTTAGGCAGAACTATAAGGAAGAGCCTCAAAATTTAAAGCTGACATAGTCATGTTTATCTTATCAATGGGTTTTATTGCATCTCAGGTAAAGGATTTTGCTGCAGGCAGAAAACATCCTTTTATTCCCCTTGATTCTAGCTTGTGGAAGCTGCATTAGCTGAATACCCAGAAAACTTGCACCTTCTCTATGTGAGAGCAAGCCTGGAGGAAGCAGTTCATGGAGGTGAGGTGGCCCTCCTGACAGCACGCCACATGCTGAGCTTATGGCAAACGCTCTACAAGGACCAGCTGATGGGCGACATTAGTGATGTCCAGTCCCAGATGCACACCAATCACGATACTTACAGTATCTTCAACATGTCTGATAAGGATGGTGGTAAGTAGTTCAGGTCAGTGCCATAGGCCTAATGATAGCTCAAGAGACAAGGTAGTTGTAAACAGTTTCATTGTTGATGTGAGGATAATTATTTTGTATTTGACTCGTGGTGTTTCCAGACTTCTTCACTTTGATGTTGCATTTGTTTGCTGTTGATCTCTGTCCAAGTAGCTAACATGATTGCGTAGGATACTTATGTTGCTAACAAGAATGTGGAAGTACTGTTTGTGTTGTTACCAAGAATGTGTAGAATGTCCTTGTTACTAGTGCACTGTTTGCAAGTTGCCATGCAAAGAATCACCGGAAACAACTTAACTGTTTATTACGTAGCTTGTTCTAGAATAGGTACCATAAGTAGTAATTAAGGGGTAGAGTAAACATCATTTTCGATCAGTCATCTCTTGTTCAAATGATCCCGTCCTCTGCATTGTCAGTGAGAGGTTGACCTTTCCCTACAGCCCCGACCCCTGGCGAGCATGTGGTTCCTTCCTCCATGGGACTGGCCCTCTCTGAAGTGGCGTCCCTGAACCTTAGACTCCTTTCTCCAGCCATACAGGTGGACACTAATACTCAGAACCCTTTGACAAAACCTCCACTTACTCAAGACTCTCCCCCTCACCCCCCCGCAGCATCTGTACATGCGGAGAGCGTTGCTGCTTCGCGTGTGGAACAGGCGTTGTCAGAGGTTGCATCTTCCCTCTCGTCGTACCAACCAAAACCAGGACCTCAGCAAGCTTGGCTCCTTCAGATTCAGATCTGGTTACTTACGGCTCAGCTGTATCTCAAGTAAGAAGCTTAGCATTTTCTTTGATTTATTGTGTTTGTAAACACTAATATTGATGTTTTAATTGCTAATGTATAATTTTTAAAAATTTGTTTGATTTTGTGTAGAGTTACTAATATTATTGCAAGCATGTATTTTGGTTGCTTAAAGTTTGAACTGTATTTTTAAAACAAACTTTTTATAACTGTGTTTACTAAATGGACCCTTTGTATTACCCTAGGGTGCACTTTTGAATGGGTATTCTTCTTGTACATATATTCATGTCACCTCCTGTGGAAGCAAAAGTAGCTATCCTTTTTGAGATGAATGTATATTGTAACATGTTGGTATTACCATTTTGTTTACAATTCACAATATTTATTGTCAATGGTGTATATAAAGAATTGTTGATTAGAATTAAATGACATTTATATATACTTACTTTCAGGACTGATCAGATAAATGAGGCAGCTCAGTGCTTGCAGGAAGCTTCTTCCATCTTCCCTATGAGTCATCATATACTGTTCATGGTGAGTATGTACAATTACTCTGGCTTTCTTTATTGTAAAATACCTATTGTTATTATCCACTAGCTATTTTTTACTGTTAATTTGAGGTTGTATTATTCAAAGGGATGATTGTTAACCTTGATTGTGCATTGCTTAAGAAATGTTATGAACTGCATAGAACTTAAATGCAACACATTTTAAAGAAAAACATGTGAGCCTAACAAAAATTCATGTTGGAGGAGCCTGCTTGTATAAGAATAGAGGGAAAGATGGAAAAACGGTATTTCTCTTTGCTTACACATAAATGGCTCCTCAAATGCTGAACCACAAAAGAAAAAAACACAAAAGGCCTTCCTACCTCATCCTATTATCCTATTCTTTGAGTTTTTGCTTGTACTGTTGTTATAATGAATATTAACAATTTCATCATTATAACAGTACTGAAAGTAATAAAGAATTC